TGATGTACTGATTCTCTTATTGAAATGATTTCCAACTCATTTTTATGCCTAATTTACTTTCGAGAGTTTTCTTTTATCACATTATTTTTATTTTTATTTATTTATTCAGATTTTTCTAATTCAGTTTAAAAAATAACTTTTTTAAAATTTTTTGCTGTTTCTTTTACAAAAATTATTATTCAACAGGTTTATTCAATATGAAGAGCACAATATTTAAGTTATTTCTCAAATGAATTTTATTCATCAGCCATTTTGTTTTATAATATGATGAAAATTATTGCATCTTCGTTCTTACAAACCGCAGAGTGGAAATAGACAAGCTTTCATAGATCGTACACAAATTCATGCCCACAAAATAGCGCATACACACGCCAAGACACACGCACACAATCTCACTCACACACACACACACACACACACACATTAGTGATTGTACACAAAGTGGTGGTGTGTGGAGTCGGGCACTTACGGTAGCCAGAGGCAATCTTTGAGTGTGTCTGCATCTTTGTGTGTGTATGTGTGTATGCTTGTTTGTGTGCGTGCGTGTGTGAGTGTGTGTGTGTGTGTGTGTGTGTTAGTATGTCTTGTTGATGTGTTTACGATCAATGTAACTAAAATATTTAATTATTTATTTTTCATTAAATTTGAATTGCTAATGACAATGCCGTTGAGGTTACATTGTTCAATACAATTATGACCAGCGTTTCAATAATAATAACAATAATATTAATATTGAAAAAAAATAATAATTATAACAATAATAATAATAATAATAATTATTATTATAAATTAATATTGTTATATTCTGTAACAGTATATGACACAAGAATATTGCAAATCCCCGAAAAGAATGAGTGTCGAAAGATTGTCTCAACAACAGATTACAAACTACCAAAATGCTAGAACTGTGGAAAAAAGGGCATAACAGGAAATATTTTAAGCGGCCTCAAAGAAGAAACGTCAAAGGAACGATACGGATAAAAACGACTTGCGAAGTTTACCAGACATATATTTGGAACATCTGCAGCTAACAGGCACAAGCTGGCTGGAAAAACAAACGTTTCCAGCAATATTATTTATGTCTCAAGGCTGCATCGTGACCGAGATGACTTTTGGGTGGAAGGAAAGTTAGATCTACGCAAATGTTCTATTACCAATGATACAGGAGCAACTAGATCTATTCTTAGACGTGACATATCAATTGATCTAAAACAAAAAAGATCTAGCAAGTACTTTCTTTAAACTGCCGCCAGAGGAAAAGCTCTTGTGTACGGGAAAGTATTTTGCACTTAGAGGTGGGAGACTTGGAGTTTGAGGGTGGCAGACATTACCAATGAATGCATGCATCTTGGGCATCGGCTGGTGATGAAGTACGGCTTTTACCTAAATCTGAAGATAAAAAAAACGTTTTTTAAGATGGAAAAACATTGAAGTAATCATAGGAAACAGTCAGCCAAAAGACACCCAGTGAACGCTCAATGATGAAATGGTTATAACAAATTTGTCAGAAAACATATTTCGGCAAAACTGAAAAACAATGAATGCAGGAACTATCTAATTGTTCTGGTGGAACTTACGCCTACGTTCAAAATACCAAATATTATTTTTGATGAAAAATCCCTAGTAGAAGTCAAAAGGTGACAGAATTTCGATACAGAAAATGTAGGTCTCAGAAAATCCAATAAGATCAAAGGATAGCAGAGTGATTGGCAATGCCCAGCCAATAAATTCCATGAATTCAGAGTCGTCTAGTCTCCAACGTAATCTATTGGACGAAACAATCTCCACCAAAGAGGAGCGAAGGAAGGCAGAGACATTGTTAGCAAGTATTCGAATATATTCTCGACCGACAACAACGGCCAAGGGAGAACGGGCCTGGTATCTCACAGGATAGACACTCAAAATTGCGAATCCATCAAACAAGCTCCACGACGTCTTCTACTGTTAAAGCAGGCGGAAACGGATGGATGATTTCCACCTCCAGTCGTTCTAGTTAATAAGAATGATTTTGCGTGGACCACAGAAAACTGAACGCAGCCACCATGAAAGATACTTATCCGCTTCAAGGATTGACAATACAATGAATAACTTATCCGGTTCAAGCGGGTTCCGGCAGGTCGAGATTGAAAAGAATAACCAAGAGAAGACTGTTTTTTAGTTAGAAAAGAGTTCGTGGCAATTTACAGTGATGCCGTTCGGGTTATGTAATGCCCAGACCACATTTGAGCAGCAAATGGAATATGTTTTGATGTTTACATGGAAGACGTGCCTTGTTTATCTAGACGACATTATTGTTTATGGAATTTTGTTTGCTGACTGACAAACAAACAAACAAAACAAACAAACAAAAAACAAACAAATAACAAACAAAAACGAACGAACGGACGATCGAATGACCGAACGAACGAACAAATAAACAAACGAGCCAGCGAGTGAACAAACAAACAAACAAACGCGTACGCGCACATGCACCCGTCGTACATCGACTGTGCTGCAAAAGAATCAAATGTACTGTATCTACTACACATTTTTTATTTGTTTGTTGTTTGTGCTGTCCATCATGTCTACCGTGTTCACCATTTTTGTGATGTTCATCATGTTTTGTGATGTTCACTTCGTTTGTTTGTTTATCAATTAGAACGATTAAATAAATTTAAAACGAATAATTAAACTAAATTTTTTGCAGTTTGTAACCCTTGCTTTCGTAACAATGGCGAAGCTGTTTGTGTAGCTTTTTTTTTATTTTGTTGTTAATTTTGTTAATTGCGATTCTCAGTGATCGTCGGGAAGCACGTTGATTGTGAACATTAGACCTGTTAGCCTTGATAGGAAAATATGTGCCGCGAGATGCATTACAGGAACGCGCCATCCGTTGTTACTCTGTTTCATTGTTAGTTTTTTGTGCAAAGACCGTTGTCACAAAATCAGAATGTTAATTGTTATTTCGATTGTTACATCAAAATAAAAATGAAACACAACACTAGTTTGTTGTCTCAAACTTTGCCCAACCATGGACCACCAAGAATCAACTGCCACCCACATCCATCGCTCACGACTTCAACAACAACACGCAGACGTTAACTAACTCCTACGATCACACACACACACACACACACACACACACACACACACACACACACACACACACACACAAACGGACAAATGAAATGCAGCGAAATCTAGCGACGAAATAACGATGATGGATGCTGATAACCGATTTGCTTAATGAAAGTGGCCACGTTGTTGTTTGCACGCCGTCCTCTAAATTGCAAATAATTGTTCTAGAGCTCCGTAGCCTTTAGTTTTAATATGGCTGAGCGTGAATCACATCTAGTACATCTGTGTCATCACCATCATCATTAGCATCATCATCATTATCGTCATCATCATCTTCTTCATCATTATCGTCGTCATCATCTTCTTCATCATTATCGTCATCATCATCTTCTTCATCATTATCATCGTCACCATCCTCACCCCAATATGGTCATCAGCGTGAATAGTAACATTTATCAGAAAGTTTACCAGCTGAGTAGGGCTTGAGTTCATACATTTATTTAACCGGCATGCATTCATCTGTCCATTCATCCATCATCATCCATCTTACCAGGGGATAAGATTGCAAGTGTTGATGAGATTTCTGATACGTCAATCCATGATAAATTGTATTGTTTTGTTTTTGGTGAATTGTATTGTTTGTTAGTGAATTGTATTGTGTGTTGCATGGTGAATTATATTGTTTGTTTGTTTGTTTTCATGTTGAAATGTTGTTTGTTTATCTCATAGGTTAATATTTTATTACGAACAAATAAACTCAACTAGAGCAACAAAGAGTAAACAAAGGCTAAGTAAAACATGAAAACAGTCAAACTCCTCAGTTATGGTGTCATGCATACAAATACGAAATGTTGGTGAACAGTTTGAACGCAACATTGGTAAACAGTGTGAATGTAACATTGGTGAACAGTGTGATCTAACACTGGTGAGCGGCAAAACACATCAATGCAATAAAAAATATCAAATGAATGAACTAATGAAAAGAGCAGCAAAAACAACACCAACACGAAAAAGTATGGTGCTATAAACAAGAGTCTTATAAATAAGAAACATGATCAGAAACAACATACATACATACATACATACATACATACATACATACATACATACATACATACATACATACATACATACATACATACATACATACATACATACATACATACATACATACATACGTACATACATGCATGCATGCATGCATACATACATACATACATACATACATACATACATACATACATACATACATACATACATACATACACACACACACATACATACATACATACATACATACATACATACATACATACATACATACATACATACATACATGCTGGCACATAGTTTGGTCTGAACGTACATACGTAGAGGTAGGTACGTGATTGGAATAACCTTCATGTTAATCTACAATGCTTTCATGTTGTTCTCGTGTTTTTGTCCCTGTATGTTTATTTTTGTGTTTGTATGTGTACATTTCTTTCAGTATATACATATATATACATTTCTGTGTGTGTGTGTGTGTGTGTAGTTTTGTTTCACTGTATATATACCTATCTGTATTTCTTTTTTCTTTTTGAAGGTTTGCTTATAGTTTTGTCTGTTTGTATGATTGTGTGGCTCTCTGCGTATTCCCATGTAACTTTCTGTACCTATGCACACGTTCATCTGTGAGTTTTAATGGGTTGTTACTATTTGAGTGTCGATGCAGTTTCAGTTTTGCGAGTATTACAATGATTTTTATTTTTGCGTGTTGTTGGTGTTTATGTACGTCTGTTTAGTTGAACGTTAATGTGCTGTATTGCTGTTGTTGTAGTTTTCTATGGTTGTGTTGTACGTTGTTGTAGTTTCTAATGAGTTGTGTGTACTTTGTTGTTGTTGTTTCCAATGAGTTGTTCGTACGTTGTTGTTGTTTCCAAAAAGTTTACACGCTGGTGGTAGTTTTTCAAACTTGTTTAAAGTAATAATTTACAGTTGATAATAAAGAATAATTTTCTGGAATATATTTCTTGATTGTAACTTTCCCACATTTTGTTATTGAGAGTTCTTCTCGTTAAGTTTGGGATTTACGCCTGGTTGAAGCAAGCATAACTTTCGAGAATATTTTTTATCACAAATCGCTGGCTATTGGAAATAATTTTTACAACATCAACTTGGCTGCTTCTGCGTTGAAATCTATCAGAAGTATGCTGGGAATGACGATGGTGATGGTGACGATGGTGATGGTGAATATGGTGGTGATGAAAGCGGTAGTTTCAAAAGTAAGTTACAATGGTGACAATAAAAAAAAACAACAAAACCATCAAAAGATTATTTTTCAAGATAGAACAAAAATTTACATCTGAAGATCTTTACAACCATCTTAATAACCTCATCAATGTCCGTTCCCAGAAGTCCTAGCACCACCACACCCTAATATTTTAAATTAAATAATTATTAGTTTTATTTTGACGCTCAACTTTATTGTAAAAACATGTTCAGAAAAATTTGTCGGAATTAGTTTAAAATGATTCAAGATGATATTTAAGTACCCACCCATACCGGTGCATATGAAGGATCAACTTTTCAAATAGAAAAAACATTCCTTCGAGTTTTAAATGAAAACTCATTGCGACAGATTCGAACCTCCAAATATTTTGCTTCTTGTAACTCAGTAATTAGTTAATTTGATGTAGAAATCTGCAGACCTCCGATGGAAATAACAAAAAATGAAAAAATACGATTACGAAGGCCATTGATGCATACGTGCCTATATAAAATCCAGATGCCTCGATCTCAATGCATCGGGATGTCGTCCACAACAGCTGCACTAACATTCACAATTTTTGAAATTTTCTGATAGCTTTTTTTTCTTCTCTCGTTCCCGATACGGATACATCGGCTTCGAATTTCAAGTTCCCTTCCTCGATCTATAACTGGAATGTCTGCCAAAATTACTTACAAAACGTAATTACAGTTTTGCATTGCTTTAAGTGCAAAGAATAAAAATGTTAGTAATTCTTATGTAATTTAAGATTTTTCTACCAATTTTTTTTCTCATTTCAGAACAGTTGAAAATTTGAAAAAAGTTACATAAGAACGTTTTCAAGTTTAATACGCCTATTTTGTTGGTCCTTTCTGAAACTTCATCACTAAAGTTTGGAAATGTCTGACACGTTCGTCGCATATTATGACTCGGACGTTCGTCATATAAAAAAAAATTAAATAAGGCACCTAATTTTTATCAACCAAAATGATGTGAGAACAAAGTTAAATAAAACCACGGTTCCATCAAGAACCTGTGTATTCGTAGTTTTAAATCAACTGGCTTTGTGGTGTTTGAGCTTCTATGTAGCAAACAAGCATTCATTGATGTAAATTAACTTCATATATAAATTTGTTGAAATTGACATTACAAAACATATTTTTATCGTAATTATTCATATCGTCATCTTATGGACATCATAACCATTACCAAAATATGCTTCATCATGATTACGATGATGATGATGATGATTATGATGATGAAGATGAGGAAGAAGATGATGATGAAGATGATTTTGATCATTATCGTCACTAAAATCATCACCGATATTGTTGTTTACAATGTGTCGTTCTCATTTAGACGAAACTGAACAGATGAATCAGAGCACCAACAACATCAACAACATCAGCATCAACAACCGCCTTAACAACAACATCAACAACATCAACAACATCAGCAGTATCAACATCAACAACATCATCAACAACAACGAAATCAACAACATTAACATCACCAACATTAACATCAATAATATCAACATCAACAACAAAATCAACATCAGCAACATCAGCATCAACAACATCAACATCAGCAACATCAACAACATCAACTTCAATATCAACCTCAACAACATCATCAACAACATCAACATCATCAACATCTACACCAGCGCCGTCACTGACGTCATCATCATGTTTGATGTCATCGCTTCTATTATTACAGCCATTATTACTATTGCAATTTTTTTCATCAAATCGTCATCTTCATCATCATCATCATGATCATCATCATCGCCACCACAATCATCATCACCATCATCATCATCATCATCATCATCATCATCATCATCATCATCATCATCATCACCATCATCATCGTCGTCATCATCACCACCAACATGACTTAGCAACGCTTTCCTCTCAATGGTCGGTTGCCAAGGAAGCCGCTACCATTAGAGCGCGCGCATGACCGCCAGAGCGTTGCGCATGCGCAGAAAAGCGTGACGTCACGTGATTTTAATGCGAGGTCCGCAGTGAATGCTCTTGTGGATTTCATTGGTTGATTGGTCGGCTTTTGTTTGGCTTTTATTTATTGGCTGTGTTCTTTAATTAATTTGTTCTTAGGTTGATGTTCGTGTCGGCGCGTTGTTGTTGTTGTTGTTGAGTTGTCGTCGTGAAGCTACAACATCGAGGTGGACATCATGGCTTGTTGTTGCTGGTGTTGTTGTTGCTGGTGTTGTTGTTGCTGGTGTTGTTGATGCTGGTGGTCTATTGTTGCTGGTGTTGCTGGTGCTGGTGTTGTTGATGCATTTTTTGGGAGTTGCTGTTGATTTCGTCAATTACTTTTCAGTTGTCAACATTTTGGGCTCTTCCAGCAAGTCTTACCTGGGGATGCCAGATTGTGAGGATTTTTAAAATTTTTGTCATCGCTTCTCCATCATGGCATATCACCAAATAAAAACCCACCAAGACATAAAACAAATGTGCATTAATGCAGCATTGGTGCATGCATTCAATCTTGGGGGCGGAGGCAGAATGGCGGGAAAGCACAAACTGGATCAACAGTCGGTCAACGTCAATTACTCCAAGAAATAAAATGTTCATTGAAAATCTTATCAAATATTATCTTATTGAACATATCACCTTATGTTATTAAAAAAGGTAGCTAATAATTAGCAAGTACAATTTTTTATAGGTTTCCAAAAAAATATTAAATACAATTATTTTTAATGTGATACTTCAAAAAGTTTTTTAAATTAAGTTCAAGTGAATTAAATTTTCACGAGTCCGTTCATTTGTATTTAAGTATCACCAGTGACGAATGTTGGATTGAAATTTTTGTTGGATCGCTTCATTCCAACATTTTGTTCCGATGCTCTTGCACAGGATTCTGGTGAAGGATCGTGGTGAATGGATGGAGTGATGAATGGATGAATGGATGGACGGATGGATGGATGGATTGATAGATAGATAGATGTATAGAGTTTCATTGAAACAAATTTGAGGAAAATGGTGTCCCACAAAAGGGAGATAAGCAACTGTTGAAACGAATCTTTGATGAATTGTGAATGTTTTCAATGACTAACTTCTAATGGATGACTGATGAATGTATCCTGCTTGACTTTCATTCTCCCTTACACTGTATGTCCACCATGCTTCACTGAATAACAAATTCTACTTTTTAAATTGTGTAAATTTCAAAACGTCAAAACGCAACAGAGATAGCACACACAAAAAAATGAACAAATTAACCATGTTAAGAAATAAAGCAATGCAATATTTATGTTACGCTCTGTTATGTTACAGAACACGTTGATACAAACGCCATGTGGGTGGATCTATTTTGTTGTGTCCCAGTATACGTTGCACAAAGTGTTGGAGATTGTCGTTACATAAGGAGGCATTGTTACGGTTGTATGATTGTTATATATGGTAACATTAGGGAGGGATGATCTGCCTAATTTGTAATGGATTATATAGCTTTCAAAAGAAGGATTAAGTTGGGCTGCAAACTAAGGTACAATCTGTTCATCTGTTTGATTCTTGTTCCTGCATCTCTCCCTCTCTCTCCTTGTGCTTGCGTGTTTCAACTCTACGTCTGTTAGCCGGTTGGAAAGTTGTAATTTTAATTTTTTTTACATTTGGAAATTTGGAAGATGCTTGAGCTGACGTGCATTAATTAAATGGGATGAAGGAAGTTCTGTCTTTCAAGGCAATAACATTGCTTTTGCGATGTGTTCTCAATAACAACATCATCATCATCAACAACAACAGCATAAACAACAACATCCCCAACATCATCATCAACAACAACAACATCAACAACAACATCCCCAACATCATCATCAACAACAACAACATCAACAACAACATCCCCAACATCATCATCAACAACAACAACATCAACAACAACATCCCCAACATCATCATCAACAACAACAACATCAACAACAACATCCCCAACATCATCATCAACAACAACAACATCAACAACAACATCAACAACATCATCATCAACAACAACAACATCAACAACAACATCATCGTCATTTTCCTTTCATCATTGCTGATACGTTGGGATGATGTTGGATTGAAAGCCATCAGCAGATAATCAAGAGATGCTGTTGGGATGTTGTAGTTGTTGTTATTGTGATGTCAATGTGTTTGTTAATGTTGTGATGTTGATGTTGTTATTGTGATGTTGGTCTGGTGTGGTTGCAATGTTATTGTGATGGTGATGTTGTTGATTAGGTAATGTTGTTGCTAATATTGTGTTTGGTAATGTAAATAAGTGTCAATAAGATGTCTGACTTAGAGATTTTATTTATTGGTGCTAATTCCATTATTGTGTTGGTGCGTTGTTGTTGTTGTTGTTGTTGCTAATGTTAGTTGTAATTGTTGTTGTTTGTAGATTTTTTAATTTTTCAAATTATTTTTTTCACTCATTAATTTCTTCAATAATTCAATGATTCATAATACAAATGTATAACATATATTCATTCAATTTTTTTTTCTAATTAAAATTGTTCGTTGTTGTATGTGTGGATTGAGAGGGAATGGAGCACATGCTACGATATTACGTTCCATTCCACTTCATTCATCATTACATTTCACGATTCTTTACTCTATTGCACTCTCTTCTTTGTTATTTCTCTCTTTCTCTCTCTCTCTCTCTCTTTCCGTTCTGTTTCTTTTTATCATTTTATCATTTTTCTTGTTCTTGTTATCATTTTTTAATTTCTTTCTATTTCATGTTTTCTTATTTTTGTGTTTTTCGTTTTTTATTTATCTTTTTCTTCATACAATTTTATTTCAATTTGTTCGCGCTAAATTCTGAATAATTCTTTTTAATAATAATGATTCAGACTGTGTAAACATTACTGACCAGTAAACGCAATCAAAAAATTGAACATTCTGAAAAAAATTTTTATTAAAAAAAACCGTCCCCCAATAAAAGCTCATCAACTCCACGTAGCCATGCTGACGCCACTGGTTGTTAATGTCACAACTCGTCTGCTGTGTAATTTGTTTAGCGTTTAATATTATATTATATTGCATGCCGTTGATGTAATGTAATGTTATTGCTGGTGTGGTGTAATTTCTTGTTGATGGGTGATACTCTTTTTTTCTATCTATGCTGGATGTGATGCATGTACATCTCTTCAGCGTGTTCTATCACGGCAAGTGATCTCATCTCCACAACCGACAGCAAACAAACTTCAACTCTGCACTCTGTACGCACGTCACAAAAAGATAACAACTTGCAAGATAGCTCCACGTCATATTGGTCACGTGTTCATGACGTCACTAATAGTGATGTACCGTTCCTAAAATGGCGCCTGGGAGACTAATATTGTTTATAAGATGGCCACATGTGACCTCTGATCAAATGTCTGTGTGCGTCTGTCTGTCTGTTTGTCCGTGTGTTTTTGTTTATCTGCCTTGCTTGTTTGTTTTTGTCATTCTGTGTTGGTGTTGACGTGTTTGTGCAAAATTGTGTGTAAGAAGTTGTTTGATGATTTTGAATTTAAGTATTGTGTGTGCCCGTAAGGTACATGCATGTGTGTATAAGCCACTCATTTTTGGTTCCGTCCGTTTATTTTGGTGTTTCTAAATTTGTGTTTGTCCTTATTTCATTTTTATGAATGTTCGTTTGATTGATTGCACAAATACAGGATTGTTGCATGTAGACATCTGAATATTGCAATTTAAAGGTAGGTATACAAACATGTATGTTTCAACAGCACGTGCTTGACAAGACAAAGCAGGCTCTCCAACATTCTCATGAAGTATGTCAAATTATTTTTATAATATTAGAAACTTGTTTAAACGTTTTGTTTGGGTATGTTGGTGTTGGTTGAAAGGTTGAATGGTGCCGCTCCCTAGGTCCAGATGAACCAACAACTTGCAAACAGCAGATATGAATACATTTTAAATAACCCATCACACACGAGACACGCGATAGGAGGTCATCTTTTAGTCATACTCAAACCCGGCCATTGCACGCACTGCAAAAAACGCCAGACGTCCTTAACCACTAGGCCATCAAATTCAGCATTTTAATTGGTCAGAAAAAATAACGGAAATCGTAAACAAATAAATTCAGCCGTCATCAATCTCAAATTCTAAAATATTTCTATAAAAAGTCGACGTTTCAAGAGGATGCATTTCATTCATCCAGTCAACATTTTTTCCTTCAGTTCATTTGAATTATAATTACGTGAACCATGAGCATGTAAGTTGTCGAATGAATAAATAAATAAATAAATGAAACAATCAGCCAATCAATCTACGAATGACAATCAATTTTATAAAATAATTTTTTTAAAGAGAAAATTAACGGAAGTCACTTATAAAATCAAACAATATTTTTAAAGGTCCGTCTGTTGATATTAAAATCATTTTCTATCTTTGACCATTTTCATGAAAAGCAGTTTTTCCACCTCAGTAGGCTCATTAGGACCATTCATCATTTCTTGGAAGGTTTTCTAACTTTTCATTTCAGTTTCTATCTCTGGTTAGAACCGTTCGTTTTGGAGTTAATTCATAACCTAGCACGCCCTAAATATCTCTCTAAGATTTTGATTCCATATTTCTACTTTCACGCATACTTCGTTGTATACCAGGCCAATTTGATGTTGATTTATTTTTTATTTCATCTCCTAACTGATTCCCAACAACTCTGTAGCCCTCCATTTCAATTGTTTCCAATTTGCATCTGTCACCTTTTGGCTTCTGTTCTGTCCTGCATGCTTCCAACAGTGCAACCGACTGAAACCAAACATTTCCTCTCCGATAAGCATTTCAATTTTTCTAAATTTCTTTCTAATAGGGAAAACATTTCGCGTGCAAACTTCATTTTAGTTTTTTGTATTATCTTCAATTAAGAACAAATGTATAAAAATGTGTTCATCATCCACGCATCTGAAATAATGTTGACGGGTCAGTTCAACTTTTTAGACTCTATAATATTGAAACACGCATACATCGTTACTTCATTGAAGGACTGAGAGGACATTGAAACAAACAGTAGTACAAAAATATCCGCTGGATCCTAATTTATTATGTCGAAATTTGGCGAAATGCGGAGCAAGTTGTTAGTTTCGTTTGAAAATTGTTGAAGTTTCTAAACAGGTTTTTACTATTCGACTAAACAAAACCGCAGTCAATAAATGAAAACTACAACAACGACAAAATTGCGACAGATTTGGTGACGCAGAAAAACTACACAACTATAAAAACACCACGCAACACATCACAACACACAACAGCCTTGCTAGTGCAAAAGCACAGTGACACAGCAACAACAATTAAATAACCACAACACAACCGCCTCAACCAAACCACAGCAACAACACAATCGCAACAACCACAACAAACACAACAACAATAACCACGACAACACAACCACAACAGCCACAAGAACACAACCACAACAACATTGGAAACGTTCCTTTCATCGTTCTCTCGTTCTGATATAATTGACAGACCAAAAGCTAATAACACAACAATGCGAGTATTAAGATGGCAATTATTTATAAACGCTGCGCGGATGAACGTTTGTGCGTGTGTCTCCGTGTGCACGTGCGTGAATGTGTGTGTGCTGTTGTGTCAGTGAGTCAACGTGTGTATGTGTGTTGATGTGTGTTGATGTGTGTATGTGTATATGTGTGTGTGTTGATGTGTGTGTGTGTTGATGTTTGTTGATGTGTGTGTGTTGATGTGTGTGTGTATTGATGTTCGTGTGCTTGTGTGACAATATGAGTGCGCTGATGTGCATGTGTGTGAGAATGTGAGGACATGCATCTGCCGTTATGTTAGTGTAAGTACGTTGATGTGTGTGTGGTCTGTTTGTACGTGCTCTTTCAAAGTTTGTCAATGTTTGTTGGGGAGCATTTTGATTTGGCAATAAATTTTTAAAGATTTAATGAAAAATTATTCATCAACTGAATGCTCTCTGTCTCTTTGCTGCTGTGGAAATGTTGCAAAAGAAGAGGGGAACGTACGAAGGTTTTGTTCAAAAAGATGTTTAAATTAAAATATGAGATGAAAAATATCAGCAGCGGATTGCTGGATGAATGGAGATGGTGGCTTGTCTTTAAAGCAATGCTCCGTCCAAATGCCAGGAAGCATTTTCGAAGATGTCACCTCTATGTTTTTTTGTTTACTTCATTTCAAAAAGTTACAACAACACGTAACAATTAAATTTTCACTTATTGGGAATTTTTTAAAAGTTGACCTGTAAGAATTCCGAACAGTTTTTCGTAAGGTACGCCCTGAGAATCTCAGGGCGTACCAAGTTATATACCTATTTATTTACCGTTTTAAATCATTTTCAGGCTGAGATGGAGTCATGAATCTGCTGAATGTGCCTCTATGAATATTGTTCGGAGAGTAAATGAAAAATTTTTTACCGTTAACACACCCACGGGAGATGAATGTGTGTATGGAAAGATGTTGAAGGCATTGAGTTGAGATATTTGTTTGTGTGGAGTGCAGAGGAGAAGACAGAAGGAAGGATGGAGAGTGGATGCAATGTGGTGGGCGGCTCCCTTCACATGAAAGCAACCATCATTCATGTGTGTCTGTGTTGATGTTGTTGATGTTGTTGTTTGTGTTGATGTTGTTCTTGATGTGGTTGTTAGTGTTGTTAATGTTCCTGTTGCTGATGTGGCTGTTGTTGTTGTTGATGTTGTTGTTGATTTTGTTTTGTTGTTGATGTTGTTGTTGCGGATTTTGTCGTTTTTGTTGATGTTGTTAATGTTGATGTTGTTGCTGATGTTGATAATGTTAAAGTTGTTGTTGTTTACGTTGTTTGATACTGTTGATGCTGTTGATGTTGTTGTTGATGTTGTAGTTTTTGCGGCTGTTGTTGTAAATGAAATTTGTTTGTTAATTTCGCAGTTAAACTGAACCCCATTATTATCGTTGTGGTCTATTATGCTGTTGTTCTGATTGTTTGTATTGTTGTCGATGTTGTTGTTGTTGATGCTGTTTTAATAATGTTGAAACTTATCCTATTGCTGATTCTTAGACTATATATTTAGTTTATCGTTCACTTTGTTAAATTCAATTTTTTAATGGTTAATAAAAAATAATTTTGAAATTTTTGAACATTTAACTTTTCTCCAAATTAATGTTTTTTAAAAAACTTTTCTTCACTAACAATTGTTACTAAAGGGCATCAAAATACATCAGCAATCATCACATCAACACACATCACTTTACACCAAATGACTCACAGTTTCCAAATATTCAACATTGTTATATTTTGTCAACCTCGTCACGATATAATTAAATATAACTCATATTATATTCCTACAAAAAAAACTTATGCATACGTGATCACATCATAAAACAAACACACACACACACACACACACACACACACACACACACACACACACACACACACACACACACACACACACACACACACACACACGGCGCCGTATCTGTCTACATAAACACACATTACGCGAAGCAATAAAACAATGCATTCATAGTACGGACATTCATTCATCTTACATACATCGTTCAACACCGTTAAATACACAGCATGTATACTTACACGCGAGATCTACGATGCCTTGACACATAAGTTATGTAAGTCACCATGCACACATATCTACACGCATATCATTCAACACACTTGCACATGTACACATACATACATACAAAAAAGTTCACAACAACCATTATAATTGATGCCAACGAAGCTACAATAATGACGTCATCACAACGTCATCCTTTGTTGCGTCATTGTTCAAGTTGCACTCCTCATCTGCGGACGCCAGATGCACGTGTGCGTTCCAGGTCGAAGTTTGATGGAAGCTGTTCGTGAAAGTTTTTGATGGGAGAGTGATGAGGATAATGATGATGTTGTTGTTGATGGTGACAATGATGACGACGACGATGATAATGATGTTGTTGTTTATGATGATGTTGAAGACGACGTTAATGCACGTCAAGCGCTACCAGCAGCTAACCACTACTCACACTCACACCCACACACATGTGTAAAGTTTCGAACACCAACACACACATGTTGTTTTTTGTTATGATGCAGTTCAGACGAGCACAGAACTGCTCACATGTTGAAACTCGATGCAGCAAAACTTTCGCACCCCATAAACTGCACCATCCACACCACACGCATGACCTCTAATGGTTTTTCAACTCCCGACTGACAGCATTCGAACCAGGTCACTGCGCAGTAACGTCCTGAAACATGGCACTTTTACTGACTGAGCTAAACCTTAAAACCATCTGATAAATTGTGGTTCATTTTTGTAATTGTAACAAATGTAACGGTGTATTACATGCATTATTATTATGCTTACTTTCATTCATTTTTACATACATACATGTGCGCATACTTACATACGTACGTACACTAACACAAACACATGTATATTGTACATAATCAAACAAACATACGTACATACCAGCATACCAAAGCGCAGTACCCTCAAACACATACCTACCGCATGCAACAAACATTTGTTACCGAGAAACAAAAACGCAGAGCGGCTGAGATGAAAGAAATGTGTTGAGAATGGGATGGCCGGCCAGTTACTGTTGCTACGCTACATGCTGCTTTCATCTTATAAACTTCATCACTGCATGCTTCACTTCAATGTTCCTGTGCCTGTGCGCTCTTGCGTGTACCTATGTATGTGTGCTGCTATGTATGTGTGCTTTGTATGTGTGCTATCGTGTGTTTGTGTGTGTTTGTATGTGTGCTGCTATGTGTGTTTGTGTGTGTTTGTATGTGTGCTATCGTGAACGTGTGTGTCTGTGTTGTTTCGTTTTTGTGTGTTTGTGTGCGTTGTTTGTTGTCAGGATATTTGTGCTGTTGTATGTGCGGGTGTATGTTTGTCTTTGTTTGTTTTTGTGTGTTATTATGCGTCTGTGTGTCCTGCTTGGTATGTTTGTGCGTGCACTATTGTGTGTGTGTGTTGTGTGTTTGCCTCGTATTGTATAACTGTACATCCGGATGGGTGGTTTGGGTTTTGGTTGTGTTCGTCTTTGTATTTCTCACATGATTGAAACGGCTTTCATATGCCTGTGAGGGTTACCTGCGTTACATGTATGTTGGGAGTTGTTATGTTTGAGGATGAATTTCAAACTACATTTTATCGTGATGTGGAGCAAACAGTGCGTTACAAGGCTTCTTTGAGGAATCCGCTGTGTGGGGCTGGGTACTTTGGTGAGTGCAAGCATGATCATGATTATGATTATGATCAATTTATTGATCATAATCAGAAGCGCGCTCTCAAATAAAATTACTCAAGCAATAATAGGCATGAAATGAAGACAATGAAGGCAAATCAGTACAAGTATAAGCATAAAACATAACGACATTATTAAACCGCAGACAAAAAAATTTGTGTAGTCAATTCACAATGAAAATAAAAATGTCATCAGTCTTTTCTTAAAATTATTTGCTAATAATCACGAGTCCCCCGTACGGCCAATCCAGATGAATCGATCCGACGTGACCCGATGTGAAGGTTAGTGGCTTGAACCTCCAAGAGATTCTAGTCACATGATCTCTGTTAATCTTAGAGAGACTAGATGTTTTTTTGAATAAATTAATCTCGTAAATACTTAGAAGCATTACCTTTATGAGCTCTTTGCGCCAGTACTGAAACCTCGTAGATAATTTTCTTTTCGACAGACAACCAATGTAAGTCGTAGAGTGTAGAAGTCACATGTTGACATCTCAGGCCACCAACCACAACCTTTGCAGCACGGTTCTGTATAGGCTGTTACATAGCAATTGATTTGTGAGGCAATCCATAAAACAAACCATTACAATAGTCAATCCTTGAGTGCATGGACAAAGTCTCTAATGAGGGGGTATTTAAAGCACTACGAATTTGATTAATTCTCCTGATGTGGAGCATGCAGCTTTTAAATAGCGTCTTGATGTGTTGTCTCACTGTCAAATTTCTATCAACTACAAACCCCAAATTAGCAGCACTGTCACTAAACAAAATTATTTCATCATTAACAATTATTAAGTTCAATCCAAGTTTCAACAATTGCTGCCAAGTTTCTATTGGTTGAAGTTTTGTTTTATTCTGATTTAATTTTGAACCACTTTATGTCATCCAGCAATCCATCGCCAACAAGAATTTTACCAATCTACAGTTAGCAGTTAGCAATATATTTTTTAGAAAAATTCTGAAGTAGCGCTGTCTCATTGAAGTGAAACTGCCTGAAACCTGATTGATGAGCAGGCAGCAAAATGTTATTCTTCAAGTGGGTAATAATAATTTACTTAGCAGGTACACGTTCTATAACTTTGGAGATAAAACATAGATTAGAAATTGGCCTGTAGTTGCCTGTGTCAGTTGCATTCAGATTGTTCTTCTTTAGTAGAGGCAATACAATGGCCCAAAAAATTGCCCAACCTTGAACTTAAGTTTACTCAACTTGTCAGAAATAGAGCAAACAGATTGATATGCTTTTTGATGATAAATGTCGGAAAAATATTCTGCTGACAAGTGTTAGTCGGCGAGTTCTGAATTACCTTTTTAATGTCATCATCAGTAACAGCTTCAAACGTAGAAAATATCCGCTGCACCTTAACCTCTGGTACATCCCAATCCAAATAATTCAAAGTTCTAGTATCCCGCTTCACATTAAATAATTTTTTAACAAAGTAGTTCATAAATTGATTAGCAGTCAGTTTTTTTTACAGTCACATCTAGTCCTTTCATTACGACTTCAACATAGAATTCCATTTATAATTTTTCAAAGATCTTTCAATCTGTTTTTGTTTTCATCAACGATTTTAACTCAAAACAGATAGCGCTTATCAGCAAACATTTTTTATTTTTCTTTCAATTCAGCTTTTTCTTATCCCGATAATTACTTAGCAGACGTTTCCTGAAGATTCTTTCCTTTTTCCGGCAACAGCGTTTCCTACGGATGCATTTTTATCAAACCAAGGAGCCATTTGATCTCGTCCTGGCAGAACTGTTCGAAATGGAGCAGCAATATTGGCAATCTTGACTGTTTCATTATTAAATAACTGAAATTCTTTATCAACATTATAACCCATACACGGTCTTGATATTGGAGATACAAGAAAGGCTTTAGTAAATTCGCTGTTGTTCACACGATTCCTTGTTCTGACCGATTTTATCATAGGACGAAAGTGGCCGCGTTTACTTGACGGCTCACTTTAACAAAACCGTGATCTGAGTAGATTCCACTTGGATTGATTTTGCAGTTCACTACCGGAAGATTCGATGATGTTGCCATTAGATCCAATGTTTCGCCATGAAAATGAGTTGGCTCACTTACACGATTAACCAGCTGATAATTTTCAAAAATATCTCTTAGAGCATCAGCGTGTGGATCGCCGTTTTTTTATACATGTATTTTGAAATCACTTGCTAGCATTATCTGAGAATTTAATACAGTTAAGTTATCTAAGATGGCCGTCGTTAGTTCGTCAAAGAACAACAGATTCTGTTCAGATAGTTGAACAGAACAGAGCCATTACATGGCAAGCAGAATAAAATCCTGCCGACCAAAAGTCAACCTGACAGCCAATGTCCCAAACGGCAGGTCAATTTTTTATACCTGAAGGAAGAGCTGAAAAATGCTATTAGTCCCTAATGAAACAGATCATTTACTCTTAGAGCAACCACAAAACGATAATTCGAAAGCATAGATAATGCAGCAGAAAGGTTGTCAGAAGATTCATGCAACGTTCCCGTTACCACAAAATATCCAATCCTTCAAAAATTAGACCATAAATTACATTAAATTTAGAATTTAAGTGGTGTGATGAGGTCTGCAAGTTGTTTTTATGCAGCGAATGATGTAACTGGATCAGCGTTCCCATTGTTTGCAAATAATTCTTTTCATTTTTTGCCACAGTTTACAACTGTTGTTGTTTATTACGGTGTCCAAAAAATTAACAACACAAATTTTATTTCAGCTTTGGGAGAACTTTTTAAGAAAGTTTTTGAATTTCCAAGAAACGTAAAAGTAGTTTGCATGGTTTAATTGTTTTGATGATGGTGACAGTGGTGGTGACGTTGATTATGAAAATGTTAACAGCTTTGATAGTTAAGAAGAACAAAGTTGAATGGCCACAAAAGTGACATCAAGCATCTTTGTAACGGTGATGGTCGTGTTGCAAACGTGAAAATGATGAAGAAAGCGATTATATCAGATGAAGAAAAGATGATGGTAATAATGATTATTATAGTGACGATGATTGTGTTGGTATGACAATATAATAATAATTAATGTTATTATAACAACAACAACAACAAACAGCAAAAAAAATTATAAACTACAACAACAACAGCATCAACAGCAGCAGTAACAACAACAACAACAACAATAGCATTAACGACAACAACAATAATAACACGTGTCCACCACAACAGAACTTCATTAATAATTGCATTGACTTGAATGACGATGATGATGATTATAGAATAATTTTGTTGTTGTTGAGGTAGTAGTAGTAGTAGTAGTAGTAGTAGTAGTAGTAGTAGTAGTAGTAGTAGTAGAATTAGTAGTAGTAATAGTAGTAGTAGTAGTAATAGTAGTAGTAGTAATAGTAGTAGTAGTAGTAGTAGTAGTAATTGTTGTGTTCGTTGTTGTTGCTGTTGTTGTGATAAAGGTGACGTTGATGAAAGGATGTCAAGAAAATGATTATGACGATGATCCTGGTGACGAAATTAAGTTGTTGGTAATGATGTTGATGACGATGATGATGATATTGTTGTTTTTGGTTGTGAGGGTGATGATGATGATGTTGTTTTTGATTGTGAGGGTGATGATGATGATGTTGTTGTTGTTGATGAGGATGGTGATGACGATGATGTCGATCTGGGAGATGAAACGTAGTAGGACACGAAAGAAGGATGATGTTAATTCAATCAATCTATCTTTCTCCATCTACGGTGCTTTCTGTTCTTTGTTCTTGGCTTTCCATAATTTTTTTGTTTTCCTCATCTAACTATATTTATTTGTCGGTAGGAAATGATGTTACGTTCGTTATTTTGCTATGGAGGGAGGCGTTGTTGAAATTATTAATTGTGCTGCCGGCGATCTGCCTCTTCGTTCGTCTGCTGGCCTGCCATCTTGTGCCGAAGTTGTTGTTTGCCGGGCAATCCCTGGTCGACGTCATCCTTGCTTGAAAGTACGTCAAAGATTTCAGAATAACTGGAATTCAGTTTAATAAATTTGAAACAAAATGCATGGTTTCCTATCCATGCTTCTTTAGAAATGTTTTTAAAATCAACTTCGTTGATAATATGATCATGCGTGTGCTTACGTAGCTTAGTGGCCGTATGTGTGTCTGTGTGAGTGTGTCTGCCTATGTGTGAGTAGGCGCTTAAGACGTACCCAACACAGAAGAGATTACAAACTGTTCCTTGCATAGTTTTGTGCTAATATGCTGGGTGGAACAAAAACCATTCGACACATCCACGCACGACTTGAACGGGACCCTACGGTCGGCAAGGGACTTACAATGGACTTACACAGAATCTACAAGGGACTTACAAGGGACTTACCCAGTAACCTGAACAAACACTGAACCAACATAAGTACCGCATCGTTTTGGGATGAGTATTGGTCAGACTGTTTACAATTTGTATTTTATGGCTTCAGCAAACCTCTGGCCAATAAATTAAAATAGAAAAAGTTTCAAGCAAATCAAATTAACATATGAACAAACTGAAGTTTTATATAATAAAGACTTAATCTAACAGAAACATAAACATTCAAACAACAATGATAACATAAAACATGAAAAATCATAAAATTTCAGGTTGGTGAAAAGTTATTCAAACAAAAAAAGAACGAAAGTTTAATTGATAATCTCATAAGTATGAAACTCAACCAAAACAAGCGCTTTCAATAAATTTATACCACATGAAACGAACATTAGAGCATCTTCCCAGTCCAACATGTTGCGGCTTTATTTTTCAGATTTTTTATGGTAATTTATCATGAAATTCAAAACCTCGCCAACCGACTTGATACGACGAATCGTGAAAGATGTTCGCGGGCTTTCAACATTTTTGTGATGCTTCTTCATTTTTTTCTCGCATTCTGAACATTTCAATGTTCAGATGGAAAAATGAAAATTGAAAAATGACATCAGTCAGCATCTCACTTGATACCATCCGGCATTCACATCACGTGACACTCCCACGTGTGTTACGTCATAAACACGTGCTCTTCTTATTGAATTCTCTTCCCTCTCTCTCTCTCTTTCTCTCTTTCTCTCTCTTTTTGTTGTGTTTTTTGAAATCGTAAAACTGTTTGAAAATTTTATAACAGTAACAAGGGACGGAACGAAATTTGCGGAGTGTGGATGCGTTTCTATCTTACTTAACGACAATAATTTGAAGATGTTTTAGGAGAATAAAAAGCAAAAGATATCAGCCCAACATCACAAAATAATATTAAGGTGAACCTTACTTGCAAGCATCATCCGAATAAATCTCGCCATAATCATTAGCACCACCAACATAAGAATCATCATCATCTCAAACATCATCATCACAAACATCATCATCATCATCACAACAAACATCATCATCATCACAACAACTATCATCATCATCATCGTCACAACAAACATCATCATCATCTTCACAATCATCAAACCATAAACACAACATCATCATCATCATCACAATTATCATCATCTCAAAAAATTATCATAAACATAAATCATCATAGCAAATGTCCACCAAGAAGAGGCAATTATAATTTGTAAGCCACAGTCTTCATAAGGAAGAAAAAGAACTGGCAAATTAATATATACCCTCTATAAACCAGAAGCAGGGCAAAACAGACGAGGCACACCAAGTTTGATACACAAAGATAAAATTTAGCAACAGCTCGAACATATGAGCCTGGAGAATATATGAACCTGGAGAACATATGAGCCTGGAGAACATATGAACCCTTGGAGAACATATGAACCTGGAGAGCATATGAACCTGGAGAACATATGAACCTGGAGAACATATGAACCTGGAGAACATATGAACCTGGAGAACATATGAACCTGGAGAACATATGAACCCTTGGAGAACATATGAACCTGGAGAGCATATGAACCTGGAGAACATATGAACCTGGAGAACATATGAACCTGGAGAACATATGAACCTGGAGAACATATGAACCTGGAGAACATATGAACCCTTGGAGAACATATGAACCTGGAGAGCATATGAACCTGGAGAACATATGAACCTGGAGAACATATGAACCTGGAGAACATATGAACCTGGAGAACATATGAACCTGGAGAACATATGAACCTGGAGAACATATGAACCTGGAGAACATATGAACCTGGAGAACATATGAACCTGGAGAACATATGAACCTGGAGAACATATGAACCTGGAGAAAGACATGAAGAGCTGAACAAGCTTACAAAAGTTAGGAAGTTGTAGAAAAGTATTGTCGCACCTAAAAAAACCCTCCTGAAGATGATGATGGTGATGATGATGACAATGATGATCCCCATAAAGATCCCATTAGAAAGATTATCATTAAACAAACAACATCACCATTAAACATCGTCATTGTCATCATCATTACGAACATCACAAATACAAACACATCACAACATAATTTTTACAGATGACATCA